ATGGGTTCTAGAGCTAGAGTACGGTGGTATGACTACGTCACTGTCGTGATCATAACCAACTGTTTCTCGCAACCCTGACCAGTAGGTTTCCACTCTGGCCCTGGAAGGGAGAGAACGCAAGAGCTACACAAGACTCGTCAATACTCACGATCTCGCCGCAGGTAGGTTTCCACTCCTACGGAAAAATCGCCTGTTTCATTCTAGGGCTGATACATAATGAAAACTTTGGCAACCCTAACTATCTAGATCAGATACTAGGTGATCAATCAAGCATACATGCAATAAGAACAAGAATAAACAGAGAACAGGTCGAAATCCCAGATCTATAAACCTAGATGTTTTAATCGATTATGAGAGCCCCTTTCGGGAACCCTAAGCCCAACTCAGGATCTACTCAGACATGGCTGAGGTCGACATCATCATCGGTTTTAATAAAAGTAATGAAAAACAGTAAAGAAAAGAGATAAAGAAAGCTTCTCTATTGAAGAACTAGGACTTGAACAATCTTCTACAAAAATCTCATAAAAACGGCTAAAGGAAAAGGGTTTCTGTAAAGTGTGTATTGCTCTCTCTAAAAACGACCTAAATGACATGTATTTATAGTCTCCAATACTCCATGGTCTCTAGGGTTCCGGAATTGAGGCTGAGAATGACTTTGGGCTTCAGATACATGGGCTTTAATTCGGAGATTGATTGCCACGGTCGGGGAGTGTTGTGACCACAGGGATTGGCTGGTTGGCCGCGGTCGGGAAGCTTCTGACCGCGGGAAATAGGTTGATCACCGCGGTCACGTGACTTGCTGGCCGACTTCGAGTGGCTCCGGGGCTAATGGAATATCTTGAGATCCAACCGTTGGAATGTCTCCAAACCAAGTGCATTTGAAAGCTGGTGGATTCTTCTATAAGTTGTCCAATTTTGAGGGTGATCAGACGGTGAGAAGGTCTTTTTCTCTCCATGAGAGTTCTGACGGTCTGCATTTGTCCAAAAGAGTCTTTTTGTTCCATTTTGTGCCTCTTTATCCCAAATTACCTGAAAAGTCTTTTAAAATCCGGAAACATAGAAATCCTTTGAAAACCTTTGAAAATGGAGTAAAAACACCTGCAAAAGATATTAAAGCGATCCATAAAAATGGTCAAAATCCGGTGTTATCAGACATCCAAAAAAGGCATGCCAAATCCATAGATCATAAGATGCAACTGCTTCCAGAAAAACAGTTGTGGTTCCTTTATCTCCTTGAGTAAATTGACCTTCCCATGCCGTAGGACAATTTTTTCATTCCCCGAGCATGCAATCAATACTTCCAATCATCCCCGGAAACCCTCGCATTTCACTAACGTGCAAAAATTTTTGCAGGTCATCTTGAGTTGGAGCTCTCAGATACACTTGCTCATACAAATGTATGATTCCTTTACAAAACCTACGCGAGCACTCCAATGCTGTAGACATCCTAATTTAAAGTATTCATCAACCGCATCGTCCGCCACAGCATATGCTAGCATTTTCATGGCTGTGGTACATTTTGCTAATGAAGATATACCTTCTTTCTTGGCTGCGTCAAATCATTGAGTGACGTAGTTGTCATTGCTTGGTAGGTCTGCAACAATCTGAAGGAAAATATGTCTTCGCATCCGGAATCGCCGACGAAACATTGCATCATCATATATCGGTTGAATGGCATAGTAGTCACCAATCAATCTTTGATTGGCAGTTACGTGATCTCTCTTGAAATATTTTCTCTTGTTTCGAGGTGCATAATCCTCCTATATTTTGTTGTGACGATCTCTAAACCGGTTGACAATATGCTTTTTTCAATTTCACACTGCCTCTTGTAAGCTTTGATATCAAAAGAAAATTCTGATGGATCTATTGATATTTTTTAGTATGATGAGATTTATGGTATTAGTACACCAATGGAAGAATGACTCTTTATTTATAAGAAAATGAATGGTTGAAAGCACCAGAATCCAAACAAACATTTCATTACATTTTAATATATAAATATTAGATTTTTCTTTAAAAGCCAAAAAAGACAAAGACACATTATTAAAGAAGAAAAAGACAAGCACACATTATTAACGGAGAAAATTACAAACACACATTATTAATACTAGAAAATGATAAAACAGAGACATGCATTATTAAAGCAGAAATCAAAGATTACTGACAAAAAATAATAGTCCTGAAAGTCACAGATTACTTTGTCAAAAATTTAAAGATTACTGACAAAGAAAAATTATTAATGCAGAAAATGACAATGACACATTATTAAAGCAGAAATTATTAAAAGCACACACTTATTTAAAAGGACAAGCACACATTATTAAAAGAGATTACAAACACACATTATTAATGCTAGAAAATAACAAAACAGATACACACATTATTAAAGCAGAAATCACAAACAACATTATTAAAAAACCAACACATTTGACATCAATTAATTTCCAAATAGATCATGGTTTAGCTTCTCCAACAGCTCTTTTTGCGATCATCGAGATGCTCTTTTTCACTTAGCTTCAAAAACATCTTCATCTTCTTCAATTGGTTTGTCTCTTCTTGTTTAACAGCTATTTTGCCCTAATCGTTCCAACTCTTGCTCCTTGAATTGTTTAAATTAATTCCACTCTTCGTTGACCACTTCCAAAGCTGCTCTCTGGCCTTCTTTTTATCCTTCCTTTTAGCTGCATCTCTCCTCATTGGACGAGCACTGGATCCTACAGAGTTGGAGCCACTTGCATCACTCTCACGGGATCTCTTAGATCCACTACTTCCCGATCCAGTATTTTCTCCTATCTGACTACCATAACATGGTTGATTACAAATAGCGTGCAATTCTGACATTAAACTGAAGTGAACATTGGTACCATTTGAATAAAATTCATGCGTTTTTGCCAGTACATCATTCTCTGACCACCCATTTTGTTGTAGACGCTTAGCATTATCATAAGTTTTAATCTATTTGCCAAATATTTTGTTCATGTAGTTAAAATGATTTCTGCACGAAGATCCATCACACAGAGGTTGAAATGAGCAATGCTCATTACAATATTCAGAAATTTTTCCCCAATATGCTTTGCTTTTTTGGGAATGCTCATTTCAATATTCAGCAATTTTTCCCCAATATGCTTTGCTTTTTTGGTTTCTTCCAACAATACTGTCTGTTCCGTATTTGATCCATCCACTGAGTAGCACCAAATTTGGATCTGTGGTCCAGTTGCGGCTTTTCTTACGAGTAGGTGTTGATTCCTCCATAGTTGGACTAGTCACATGTGCACTGCTCTCATTTGGACCGCTCGTATAACCAAAAGCCATTTGTGTTGAAAATTCTAGAAATTTCTTTCCTTGAGATGAATATGGCATCATCGAGCCATAATACGGATAGTGAAAATGGTGGATAATTTGGAACATCTGACGGCATTGTGAAATTTGGTAAAAATCCATAACTTGTTATATTTTGGGGGGTGTGGTTGATTGGAAAACTAATTAGGAATTTGGTAATTTTTGGGATTTGGGTAGTGAAAAGGATGATTATTAAAATTTTGGGCATTGAAAGGGTTGTTATTGGGATCCTAGTTACCCAAAATGTGTTTAAAAATAAGAGTTTATGGAATGATAGTTGAAAATTATAGGAAAAAAATAATTTTTTCTGTGTCCAAATTAAATGAAACAATTCTCTATTTTTAGAGTACAAATAATAATAGGTTTTGGTATAAATTTTAAAAAAATAATAATAATAAAAACGAAATATTTGAGTTATAAAAGTTATGGACTAAATTGTTCAGGTTTTATTACTTTTTTATTTGATTCAACATTGTTGAATAAATTCAACAGCTGAATGTTCATGTCATCTTTTTTAATTATTTAACACCCCTATCTATATACTTATTTGTGCAGTGATTTGCTTAACTGTCGGCTTCTCGTCATGTTTAATAATATTTTGCTGACATGTCGCATTCTCAGAGAGTTTTGGCTGCGGAAAGTTGGGACTATGTGGTAGAGATGAAAATACACTTCTGGATGTTGATGATCTTATCCAAACTTGCTTCAGCAAGTGAGATATGCCGAATTATTTTCTTATAAGCAACAAAGTTGTCATGTGTTTACTACAATATATTTTTATAAAACAGAGTTTTATTACAATTCTTCTTTGTTTTGTTGAAGAATATCTCTTTCACCTTCACTATTTTTAATTGTTGGCCTTCTTCTCATCCTCTTTTTAATGTTTTGGATTATGTACAACAACATAATTATTCAGAGGGGCTTCTAATAATTATGATATCTTTGCTAAAAAAATTATTTTTTTATTTGTTACTCGATAAAATTAATGTGATTAAACTTCAAAACATGGGAAGGTAGGCGAGCAAAACTTAAGAAAACAATTTATTCATGAAAAATATTAAAACTACTTTTTATCCCTAAACTGGTATTGAAAAACATTATCCAAAGAATTTCCTTAAGTTTAAAAGCGAAATGGAAAATTTAAATACAAGATGGGTTTAGAAAATTGTGGTAGCTAAGATCACTTTCCAAACTCTCGAATATTTGGATAAGGGTTAATTTTAGGACGGGTATTTCAGGAAATTTGGAACCCTATGGATAATTTTAGGTATATTACTACTTTTTAAAAATTTTAATTCTCAAACGGATAATTCAGTTACCTTATTTCAGTTTCGCTCATTTCCTTTACTTTTTATGTACCCATTTGAATTAAGCAAATAGTTTCAGATATGAAATTATTTGAACGCGATTGAGGATAAGACGAGAAATTTGGGATGGATATGCATTGGGACCGGGTTTTCGTCCCAAATTGGATATGCCTAACTGATAGTATGAAGACTTTCGATACAAGTTATACACCCATGAATTTTTGAATATGGTCAAGATTTTTGGTTTGTCTAACTATATATTGGTTTTCAAAAACTGGTTCTCCATATATTGGTTTTTAAAAACTGTCCACACTAGAGTACTTCGGTGCGTTCCTACCGGGCCGACCGGATCAGCTGATAGGGTTTATCAAAAAAAAAAAAAAAAAAACTGGTTCTCCATCCTGATTGTAACGCCGCCTGTCTCTTCTCTAGATCCAATGGTGTGTGCTCTCTCTCACTCTCCTCGTATATTTCTCTCTGTTTATTTTCTGATCATATAATAATGGCTTCTCTATTTGATTTCAGGCACCTAAGAAGGACAAAGTTCCTCCTCCGTCGTCTAAACCCGCCAAATCAGGTGGTGGCAAGCAAAAGAAAAAGGTTAGATTTCTAAAAATCAAATATTTTCGGACAATTACCTATTTTTTATCCATAAAATGGATTAATCTCATCTGGGCATCGACACTGTTCCCATTTTCCCCTGTATTGTTCTACACTAAATTCGATTGGTATTTGTTTGGAATTAACAGAAGTGGAGCAAAGGAAAGCAGAAGGAGAAAGTGAACAACATGGTTCTATTTGACCAAGCTACTTACGACAAGCTTCTCTCTGAGGCTCCCAAGTTCAAATTAACCACCCCCTCTATTCTCTCCGACCGTTTGAGGGTAAAATTTTTCTTCGTCTCTTCTCTGTTGGATTTGTTAAAGTTGGAAACTTGTCTCTGATAGAATGCATTATTACTTGATCGTTAGTGTTTGCCTTCAGTGACTATGGATTAAGATTAAGCTAGCTATTTATCGTCTTATTTCCATTTAGTTTGTTGATACTTAAATGTTTCTTTATGGTTATGTAGTAATTGTATCACTGCACAACTGTATATGTTATAAAAACGGTAAAAAAATGTCTCCTCCTTTTCTCTGATAGAATGCGTTGGTGATACATCAGTTAAGTGTTAGTGTTTGACCATTAGCTTTGGCCTTATAGTATTTAAGGGTTTATTCAGTGACTATGGATTATGATTTTACTTGAATGTTTCTCTATGAGAAAAAGTAGTAGCTGTATCACTGCACAACTGTAGATGGTATAAAACAGGTAAAACTTTCTTCTTCTCCTCTCTCTCTTGGATTAGTTAAAGCTCAAAACTTCTCTCTGATAGAACGCATTGGTGACGCTTTAGTTATTAAAGTGTTACGACTTGATCATTAGTGTTTACCTTAGTATTTAAAGCTCTATTCTGTGACTATGAATTAAGATTTCGCTAGTTCCTTATCCCCCTTTCTTTTATTAGTTTGTTGATACTCGAATGTTTCTCTATGATTGATTATCTAGTAATTGTATCACTGCATAACTGTATGAGATAACCATCTATAGTGAGAGTGCGGTGAGAAGAGCAATGTTTATGATGCTTTAGAATGAGGTGAATGCCGAATGTCTCCTAATCACCATTTATGGCTGTACATGTTGCGAGATTGTTTCATGAAACCTTAAGATTTTGTTTTTAATGGAAACGTCTCTTAGTGTGTGATTCTTTAATGCACTCGACTTCTCTAGACTCTATTGGTAACACACGGGTTTTTTTTTTAAAAAAAGATCAATGGATCTCTTGCTCGGAGGGCGATCAGAGAGTTGATGGCTAAGGGAACGATCAGGATGGTCTCTGCTCACTGAAGCCGGCAGATCTACACTAGGGCAACCCACAACTAGTTTCTTTCGACTGTGTTTGCTGTATATCTATCTTTATCCAGTGGCTTAATGAACCATTATCCTCCTAGAATGAACCTTAACTTGCATACCTTGGAATTTTACTGTTTAATTCTATGAGAATATGGAGACAATTTTTTTAATCAAGATTCTTGAAGTTTACTTGTACGTGAGAGTCGATAGCTATCGTTTTTTCAGACACACCTCCCAAGTTTATTTGAAGTAGCGTTTAGTAATGTTTTGGACACCAGCGATTGCCATTGCGGAATGTTTGTTACCTTAGACCTGAGCATTCCAAACAAAGAGGGAGTTGCCCTTTCTTCTGGAATTAATTTTACAGTCACTTGTTTTTTTGAGGAAAGAAGTCTTTAGATAAAAGACCTTTTGATCAGTATCAGAATCTTAGAAAAATAAACATATTCCACGGGTTTTTTTTTTTTGGTCGAAACATATTCCACGGCTTAAATGAGGTTTTTAGGCGTCGACAAAAAGAAAAAAGAAAAAAAGGCTTTTAGACAAAAGACTTTCGATTTAAGTCGGTAAAAAAAAATCCATGACTTAAATGATGTTCTTAGACATAAGACTATAAGACTTTGGATTGATTTAGTTCCTAAAAAAAAAACTAGAACCCACGGCTTAAAAAGTTTTTGAACCCATTGGTACAGGTTGCTTCAAAAATGAATGTGTAAACCACCCACGGCCTAAAAAAAGTCTTTAGTGGAAAAAAATAAAACGTTCGATCAATATGCAGTTATTAAAAAAACACACTTCTTAAAATAAGTTTTTTTGACAAAATACTTTCTAATGATTTTGGTTCTTAGTAAAAAATAAAAAACAGAACCAACGTCTTAAATGTATTTAAGCAAAGACGAAAAACTAAAACAGAAACTCAGAAGCTTAAGGTTATTTTTTTTTTTTTTTTTTTGATAAGTAGCTTAAGGCTATTTCGAAAGCTGATCTCCAATCACCCATAGCTTAAAAAAAAGTCTAAAGAAAAAATTCGATCAACTTTTTTTTTCTTAAAAAAGAAAAGTATCCATAGCTTTTCTTTTGGGCAACAAAAATACCCACAGTTTAAAGGAAGTTTTTATGACAAATTAGATTTTGCATTCATGCAATGTATGAGTATTTTGTTGATAAATATTTTATACAATCAATTATATTTATTAATATGTTATTTTTATATATTAATATTTTCATAATATTATTAAAATATTATGGTATTAATCTCATAATAGTTAGGTAAATTGTGAGGTTTTTATGGTTTTGTTTTAATTATATATATGTCATGTTTAAAAAAATAATTTAAACATATTATTTCATCGAATACTTATAAATTAATATACCAAAACCAACTAAAACTGTTACAAATTAATCAATTTCTATTTAATAAACATAGTAGTGACATTAGATAAAATATTATATATAAAAAAATTCATCATTTTCATTTTCGTTATATATGTGTTTTATAAAAACAATAATAAGTAATAAAATTTAAAAGTTTCTTTTTTTCATCTCTACTTTAAGTAATACAAATTTCTATTTTGGTTTATTAATTTGAATAACATTGCTTTTAGATTAAAACAACTTTAAATTTGAAACCAAAACAATAGATAAATCCGAAATGAATAAAATCACATTAGTTACATGAATTAAATGATCCAAAATTGACTTCTAAGATTTCATCGCTGTCCTTCCCATTGAGACCTAGTCTCCGGTAAGAGGCTCCGATTTGCTCTTCCCCCCCCCCCCCACCCACCCACAAAAAAAAGCCAAAACTGTTTCTCCGAGCAAGTTCCCTTTATGGAGTGAAAAAGTCAGGGAATTCTAAATCTGCTATTCAAAAAGTCGATGTGGCCCTATGTGGTTATCAACGGAGTTTAGGGTTTTAGATGCTTGAAACAAAAACTAAGATTTTGGTTTTTATGGTTTTGCAAAGATTCATAAGGGAGAGGAAGAAGAAAATCAAGCAGAAGAGGTGGAAGAGGGTCAATAGATATGGATAGTGATACTGTTTTGGAGCCAAAAACTAAGCAACATAGTTTCATATTTCGTGGAAAATCCAAAAACATCCATAGGCCGCTTATGAACAAGAGGGACTTATTAAATGCAAGGTCGATTACCAACAACAAGAAATCTTCATCTCAGAAGAACTGATGATGTCCCTCTTCTCTTAGAACACGCATGGGTTCAATAAGCCACATAAGCACAATATAGTTCACCAGTTGGGTATAAGCTACTAAGCCTTTTTTTGGTTGTTTGATTGACACGAGAGTTAAAGAAGATAAGTATTGTTCTATTGTTGAATCATGTTTTCTTGGATGGGTCGTATTTAGGTTTGCTGGTCTGACTCGAGTTCAGTGAAACTGCTGCACAAAACTCCACAGATTGTTACCTGTGCAGTTCACATAGTTGACAACAATGATCATTTTTTATACTCATTTGTATACGCTTCGAATTTTTTACAAGAGCGACAACTCCTCTGGACAGATTTGCATGCAATTCTAGCTACCTATGCGCATTTATCTCTCCCTTGGATTGTCCTTGGTTATTTTAATGAAACTCTAACCTCATCAGAGCACTCACGAGCAATGGAATATTCTGTAGATCAAAATGAACCAATTTCAAGACATGACAATAGATTGTGAGCTAAATGATCTTGCCTTTACGGGCCTTCTCGACACATGAAGGAGTGAAAGAGGTTTGAATCCAATTGGAAAGAAGTTGGACAGAGCATTAACGAATGGAGAATGGTTGTCCACCTTTCCTCACTCTTTTGCTTCTTTTGAAATTGGTGATGTTTCAGATCGTGCTTGCTGCTAGATTCAGTTGACTAGCCAATGTTCAGGTAATAGGAAGCTGTTTAAGTTTTCCAACTACCTCATAGATCATGAGCTTTTTTCTATCCACAATAGCAAAGGTATGGGATGCAGCGAGCCTTTATTTCTGATATACTCATATTTTGTCATGTTTAGGATTGCATTTTTGTCCAAATATTGAGTCTCATGCATACATTTAGGTAGTTTTACATATATTTTTAGTTAGGAATTGCATTAGGTCCTAGAGTGTCCTGCATTTTTGGAGTGTTCTCAGGTAATTTGGAGACTTTTGGGAGCAACTTGGAGCTGGGATCATGGAGGAACCCTCACCTGTGTACAGCAACTCGGACAGAAGGTTTGGTACAGACAAAACCCTCACTTTTATTGCGTGGGACGAAGGACTTGCAATGCGATTAAACCTCCGGTGTCTTCATCAATAATCAAGAGGAATGAGTCTAGTTTCCGGAACACTTGGAATCAGACGATTTGGAGTCGTGAACTGGGAGATATCGCCATCGGAAGGAACACATGTCTCGCGGCCTGATCAGGTCTTATGCGATGCGCCTCAAAGAACCGGTGGAACGGAGCCCTTGCAGACGTTACTTGAACCCAAACCCTTCACCAAAGTTAGAGATATTTGAGTTGTCTTTCCAATGAAGTTGAAATCATGGAGCCATATCCTGTAATTTACTCTCCCCTCAATGTAAAGTGGTCCGAGAAGGCTTAGGTTGTGCGATACGGTACTGCGACTTGATTAACTCGCACCCATGAATGTTCAACGCTCTGGAAATAAGTTGAGACTTTAGAGATGAGTGTAAGGAGACCCTGAGCAAGGTAGAGACTTCCAGAATCAAATTTGAGTAAGTCCACAATGCTGTGCGAGATAGACCTGCGAGTTGGACATGAAGTGGAACCATGTAGCACATGTGTTCGCAAATTACACCGACTTGGGCATGCGACTTGGGCAAGGAAATGACCATCTCGCACACATATTATCTCCATAATGCATCCTGCTTGTGCGAGTTGAAGAGAAGGAAGCCTGAGCAGCACAAACATTCGCTGTTTACACCTAGATAGGCATGCGGCTGAGGCTGAGGGATTTATGGCGCACAAGGCTGCTTCTATAGCTGTGCGACTTGGGCCTGCGACTTGGGAAGCACCTGACCATGTCGCACACCAGCCACCAGACCCAACTGAGCCGGGTCAGCACCCAGTTTGTCCTGGGCTGACCCGGTCCATTAGCACTTAGTATATATAGTTTTTTGGAGAAAACCCTAAACATCTTATCTTCTACTTAGTTTTCTCTCTAGTTTTCTTTTCCCCTTTTGTTAAAAACGAGTTTGTTAAGAGATATCTAAGGGATTTGATCATTCCAAAGCTGTTTCTTATCATCTCATATTCTTATCTTTGCTTCTAATCATGATTAACACCACCTCTTGCAAAAGATTAGGTGTGTTAATCATGATTAGTGAGTAGAGTTCTTTATAGTCTTTGGGCATGGTAGATTAGGGGATTTTGATGTTAAATCTTTGATGTCTAGGTCTTAATCCATAGTTTCCTTTCTTGTTTAGTGTTCTTAATGCTTGATTAGGCTAGAAATAGTTAATCAAAGGTCTTAGGGAATTTCATGAACACAAGGTGTTTGATGAAATTCCCCAAAGAACTAAGCAAGAGTTTTTCATGATTAGCCTATGAGAATGGATGTCTAATGTGATTAATTAGTTAATGGAACTTATTTATAATGCTTTTGATTGCTAATTTCACTAATGAGAGTTAGTTCTTGAATTTGGTAAATAACAAAGTGATTAGTGCCTTGAGAGAGAATTAGTCAAAAATAGAGTTCTAGACTTAAGGATAAGCACTTTTGTGAGGTTGTAGACATCATGGGTTATCATTAAACATCCCCTAATCAATTACCTTGCCCAAAGACTTGTTTTTTATTGGTTGATATTTGAATTTTCGTTAATGACTTTTGTTGACTTTTTATGTTGACTTTTGTTGACTTTTAAGTTGACTTTTGTTGACCTCTTCTATTTTTGCTTTTTTTTTTTTTTTCTTGTTAATCTTGGTTGACTGTTTGATTGCTTATTTTAATCATTTGTTCAGTAGTTAATCAAACCAAAACCCCTGATTTGCTTAGCTTAAGTAATTTCTTGTATTCTTGGTGTGTTAATCTTAATCCCTTTGGATTGATACCTTAATATTGCAATGACATGAGCATATTAAGGAATTGATTTAGAAAAAAAATCTTTTATCAGTTTGGCGCCATTGCCATGGGGATTTAGCATTAGCCATTAGGATTTAGATTCTACTTGAGACTAAGCTTTTATTTTTACCTTGTTTCCT